GGCCCCTCACGCTCCCCTGGCTCCCTGGGGACATGGCTGTCCCCTCCGTTCTACCCCTCTCCCAGACCTGCACGTGTCCCTGGCCTCCAGGGAACAGAGGTGGCCGTCCCCCCGGCATGGCCAGGACCAGGGTCCCTGACTGCAGCGCTTGGAGGAGAGCCAGACCTGGGCCACAGGCAGATTTTTGGGGTGCAAATACAAAAGTCTATTTAAGAGCATTCCCCCCGGCCCTTTCAGATGCAGCAGCCACCTGAGGGGTCCTCATGGGGAACAGGCGGGACATGAGTGGGGCCAGGGGCACAAGCAGAGCACCAAGGTGGCTGTGAGCCATGGTCCACTGGCTGCAGTGGGCTGCTGGCTGGCACCCTCTCCAAATCCACTTACAGAGCAGCAGTAACAGCTCAGCGACTCCCCAAAAGCAGGAGGTGGGCACCCTGTTTACAGATGAGAAGATGACAGAGCGATTTGCCCGAGGCCACCCAACAGGCTGGTGTCAGAGCTGGGAATAAAACCGCCCTGCTCCTAGTCTCTGGCTGGGAGCGTGAATAAATACCCCCGGCTCGACACACGTGTCCCAGCTGAGAGACTAAGGGCTGTAATGTTAAATTACGATTTTTGCGCGGTAGGTGATAGTTGCTAGGGGCCCTAATCAAGATTCAGGCCCCACTGTGGTTTGCGGTTCGTATGGAAAGGATGAAAAGCAGCGCTTCCCCCTTGCAGCCCAGGGACAGGGCTGGCAGGGGTGAGCAAGCAAACAGGGATAAAGGCAAGGCAGTGGTGAAATGCAAACATTCAGAGGCATTTGCAGCGCTTTACATACGTGACTAGCCCTAAGTGCTCACGTGCACAAAAAAACTGTAGGGACAGAGCTGCCGGAGCTGCTCTTTGTCTCCTCTCTATGAGCAATTGCCTGCGCTCAGTGTGAGGGAGCTTAAAAATCCAAGGATGAGGTGTTGTTCCTCTCCTTTAGGTAGAGGGGAGAATTTTAGTATTCCAGACTGTCATCAATAGCTTTTCCTAGCATGAAATTCACTTAAAATTAGAAAATGTACTTTGCAGAGGTCTACTCCTCTGCCTATCAAGCCCCCTTTAAAAATTAATTTCAATATAGGTTCTTTTAGCCTGATTTCCAATGGAAATGAGGCTTACGTGGTCATGGTGTCTGCGTCTGTCTGCCTGTCTGTCCATCTCTCTAATAACTTCTGAACCCACTGGCTGATTTCAAACAAGTTTGTCAGAAGCGTAATTACATCCCTGCAGATTTTGTGAAAATAAATGGCCTAACAGCAAAAAAAGGGACCCTATCACAGTCCCTGCCGAGGAAAGTTACAACATGAGTTCATGCCTTATTAGATTTCAGATATTCCATAAAAGTGAAAACACTAGTAAGTGCCTGAGCTGTATGAAAAGCTTCAAATGAAGTTTATGCCATCTTAGACACCCTACTCAATCAACTACAATATACAAACGTACAGGAGAAGCGGCTTTGTTAGTTCCAGTGCTCACTAAACTACTTCTTGTTTTCTTTTTTTTTTTTTTCCTGTACCAGAGGCTGCCATCAGCTCTGCTATTTCATGTGTGGCTAAATAAAAATCTCTTTAATCCTAGGTGCTCTATTCATTCGTAGCTGCACGGTGTAATCCTTTGTGTTCAGCTAAGGCTCCCACATGAAAGCAACAGTAGGTTCACAAATGTATGTTTAGTTTTATTTTTAAAAGCAAGCGAACGTTTCTCACATCCAAGTAAAAGCAGCAGAGATTTTTTTCCCGTCTGGTGTGATGAAATGTTTAGCCCCCATCTCTCACTCTAAAAGACAAAGCGTTGTCTGTGTGTTGATACAATAAATAGGGGCAAGGAACTGTGCAGAAGCTGAGAGCGAGTCTTTCCCAATGCGTGCATGTATCCTGTCCGCCCCTCTCGCCCCCATTCCCACAGCAGTGTGTGCCAATCCAGCCTATTTCCTATATGGACTTTTCACAGGGTCTGACGATTCAGTCCCTTTTGATATACCCTGACCCTCCGGCTGACAGCATCAGCGCAAAGACCGGCAAAAAGGGCTGCACCAACAAACCACCCGCTCCGTCGCGGAGGTAACCCAGCCCTTCGGGACTGGAGAAGGAGAAACATTGCAGGCAGCATGGGGGTGAAAAATATTTGTGCCTGGCCCTCCTGATCCCTCTGGGATCGAGGAGAGAATTCCAGTTTCCACGCTAGAAGAGGGTCATTAGCGTTTCAGCTCAGGTTTTCCTCCCTGCCCTTAGCACTGGCTGAAGGGAAAGAAGAAAGGGGAAGCCTGCATTTGAACTGGGCTGAGGCAGCTGCAAATCCGCACAGAACTGCGCTACCGGAGCTTTGGCTCATTTTGTTCCCGGGGATCGCTCGCTGGAGGGGCTGCGTGCACCTAGGCAGGGTTGGGCCTCTTTGCTTTTCGCTTTGGTTTGGGTCTCGTCCCAGGCAAGTCCTGGTTAAGGCCTTGCTTACTTTTCTGGTCTGGTTCCAAAAGGTTTTCCAAAGGATATAAACTAACCTATCAGGAAATATTACCTCTTGGTGTAACCCTCCCCCAACCCCATTACAGCGTTTTAAATCTTCTGCCTTCAAACACCTCCCACGTATATTCTGGTTACTCGGGCCTAATTGCTTCACTTTCTTTTGCGAGGCAGTGCAGGTTGTGTATCAGATAAAGATATGACACCTTATATTTAGCATTAATTGTAACTGCGCTTGTCCCGAGCGTACATCTCTCTTGCCAGTCCTTCCTGTGTAATTTCAGTCCCTAAATAGCCCACCTCATGATGTATGCTTTGATAAATTTCGCAGTGGTGTTTTTCTTTGTGACATAAACTGCTACAGGCTCTTGTTAGAAACCTTTGGGTGCTCAGCGCCTTAGGAATAAAATTCTGATGCCTTCCCCCTCACCTTTTCTTTACATCTTATTTCTCCCGAGAGCAGTCGGCATCTACACGCAAAATAGGAGTAAAAACAGGGGAAGGTATTAAAAAGAAAGGATCATTTTGTGATAAAGTGGTCAAGACCTGTATAGTAGAAGACTTTTTTTGAAGGGGGGTATCCTCCAAACCAAAACATGATTTACCAAAACATCTCTGATCAGCCATACTATCTTTGAGGTTTTTGTTTTGTGATATTTTTTCCCCCCCCTTTCTCCATAAAAAGCAGAAACTGGTTAAAAATGAGTTTTTTGCAAAGAAAAACAAGATGGCTTAAGCAATGACAGATACAGGAGAGTGTTTTCCACTTCTCAGCTGCGGGTTAGCCTGAGGTGATGGGGCTTTGCCATCTTGAAATGGAAGGGTAAATAAATAGGGGCCTGTGCCAGGGTTGTTATTAAACACTACACTCCTTCCCCACACTGGCTGGCACCACAGAAAGACTCGCAAAGGCTTGGTGGAGCTTGCGTCTTCTCTACTCTCTTCTCTGCAGCCAGGATCCAGGAGCTTGTGGGAAGACGATTACGTGCACAGCAAGCCGTGCTCTGCTTGTCCCAAGCCTGAAATCTCATGGGCAAGGGCTGCCAACCCGGTGCAGGAACGGGCGCGTTACTCACCTCCAAGTATTGGCAGAGCCAAAAAGCCTGAAACAAGGTGATTTCAGGGTGGAGAGGACAGAGCATTTGCCTTCACCGTCCTCCCTCCGGCAACCCAAAGAGCTACGGGCGGCGGAAGGTAGGTGTGTCACTTCTGCAGCAGCAGCAGCAGACAGCAATCTGGAGGATGAAGAAACGCTTTCAGATGCTTCCTTTCTGTCATATTACACTGCCTCAGGGAGAAAACCTAGCTGCTGAATTGGAGAATTGCCGCAACTGAGTCAAGTGCTTCTGGCCTCCCACTCAGTTTTTCAGCTGCTGTTCCCATGTGAGAGTAAATAGGTAAGAGAGTCCTCTGAAGAGAGCAGAAATGAACAACTCTGTTTGCGGGCTCATTTCTTGCAGCAAGGTATTTGCTGACTGAGCACACCCAGAAAGGCCTTTAGCTGTTTTCCCCGGCTGCTCCCATTCGCAGGGCAACAGTTTGAGGAGTTTCCTGTAAGAAATAGTGCTGACCCAGGTCTCTTGCTTCATCTTTCAACTCTTGTATAGGCGAAGACTCAAAACTGGTTGCAATTCAGAATCCACCTGGGCTACCCTGCGGGGCCTTGGCCAAGTTGCCTGCTGTGCCTCAGTGCCCTATCTGTAAAATGAGGAAAACGCTGCTCTACTTCACACCACTAAGGGAAGAGAGCTTAGAAAATAAAACCCCAAACCAACATCACCTATGTTTCTTTTGGTTTCTCCTGCAAGGGTGGGGAGAAAAGAGACAGCTGTAGAGTCCCTTTGCGCATGAGCCAACCCCTCAATGGAAGCTCTTGATGAAGAGAACAGTGAGGAATAAACCGTGCAGTCTCTGAATAGGACGCTTAATTGCAGCTACAATTAGGTAGTTCTCAAATCACAGTGCGCTTTATAGACAAAGGAGCCCCAGGAACGTGGGTGCTGATAAGTTAAGGCAGCAACAAGTCTACAGCATCACGTACTTACCTGCGTACCAACCACCTGCCAGTGTCATTGCTACCGACTCCGGGGAGAGAATAATGCTCAGGCGAGAGTTGATGGGGAGAGGAGTGGAGCAGAGCGGGAAGGCTGGGATGGGTGCCCCGGGCAGAGGCTGGAGGGATGGGGAGCAGCCTGGCAGGAAGTAATGAATGGGACAATCTCGGTATGGGGGAGCAGGCCCCCAGCCAGTG